CCGCCGCCGCTGCCAGGTGAGCGCCCGCCGCGGCCCGGCGGCCCCGTGTGCCCTCGCGACTGTCAGTCCCCGTGTCTGTGTGTCTCTCTGCCTGTCACCCCCCTGTGTCTGCGCGAGCTCCTTCCCGCCACGCCTGACCCCCGGCTCTGCCCGCAGCGTCCGCCAACCCCTCCCGCCCGCTGCCCCGGTCTTTCTGTCAGCCGCCAGCACCCCCATGCTGGGAGGCTCCGCCCCTTCCCCCCGGAGCCCCGCCCTTCGCCCCATCTGTCATCGCCCCCCTCCGGCTGCCCGCGGGCGTCCTGGGGGCGTGAGGGTGCCGCCGCTGCTGGGGGTCGGTGGAGCCCCGCGGGCCACACAGCTGCGACAGGAGCGACGCGGGGGTTGTGGAGGGGAAGTGGGGTGTCCTCAGATGCCCGCCTGGCCGTGCGAGGGTGCGTGTCCGAGTGTGTGAGCGCCGCGAGTGCGCCCGAGGGCCGGGAGCGGGGCGCGGGGGGCGGCCTGACCGGCGTGCGGCCGGGAGCCGCCCGTCCTGCGGGATGGGGCCGCCCATGCCTCTGGTGTAAAGAGCGAACGCTTGGCCAGGGAGGCAGCTGACCGGGACTCGAACCACTCGGGGTACAGTAGATTCTTGAATCCCGGGACCCTTGTTTGCCCACACGAAAACAGTGAACCTGGGCCCCGCGTTCCCGGGTGGCGTGTGAGCGAGTTGGGGGCTTGTTAAACTTTCCCAGTTTGGGATCTTCATTCAGGGAATCCTGTCGGAAGTGATTGAGGAGTGGGTGGGCTGTAGAGTTTAGGTGGAAAGTGTTTGAGAGCTTGAGTCATCTTGAGTTGCGTGGTTTGCATTTCTGAGCAGTGATTGCCCTGGGCTTGTGCCCTGTGAGAAGCTGTTATGTGATGGGGGTTTAGGTAGAGGAGGAGGAAGGGCATACTCCTTTCTGTTTTTGTCTGTGTCATGTGAACACATAGTATGTTTATTCGTGAGACCTCCACACATCCTCACTTTAAAAAAGGATTACAGTAGTTTCCATTTATACGTAATCTTGTATGTTGTTATCTTGATGTTCTTTATTTGCCGAAGCTTGGTATTGCAATATTTCAAAACTAAGAGAAAATGCGTCCTGAAAACAATTGGTATTTTGCCGGATAATTCTCAACCATGGGGAAAGAGCCAAAAGCGCACTTCATTAGCTGGAACAATTTATTCGGGCTTAATTTGTTTCTAAGAGACATACAGTGGAAAAATCCAGAAGCGGCAAAGTAGCATCAAAGAGTCTTAGGAAATTAATGAAAAGGGCCCTTCTCTTGCTGCCTTGGAAAGATGATATCAAAGTTGCTGTAGAGGACAGAGCTACTATGTAATGATAAACATATTAACCAAGTTGGTTTTGTGACCTGGATACATTGAGCAGCGCTTGATTTGTTCTGTGCTTCATAACAGGCAAACACTGCATGGGAAGCGGGGTAATTTTTGGAGAAAATGTTCTTCGTGTTTTATTTATTTTTTTCATATTTAAGTAAGATTTCAGACTCTATTCAGAGATTCAAGCAATCTCACGGTGGGAGTGGGTTTTTTTTTCCTTTTTTTCAGACAACGTTAAAAATTACAAAAATAATTCATGGTTAAGGCAGAAAACTAGAAAAACAAAAGCGTAAGAAAAAAACCCCACAATCCCACAAACCATAGTAAACCACAGTTTGGTATTTATCTTTTTAGTCCTTTGTTCCCATGTATAAGTATTTTTTCTTACAAAAATCCTATCATACTAGAAGATTGTTTTATTGTATGCTTTTTTCCACTTATAAATAGATTATGAAAGATATGACTTGGTTTTATGGGTAAGAACTTGTGTTCCCTTTGTGATCCTTTAAAAAAGTATGTTGGATCCTCTGCTTAGAGTGCTCCAGTAGCTTTTCATCTTAAAGTGAAACCTGAAGTCCTTGCCGTGGCCTACTAGACTACCTCCCTGTCCTCACTTCCAGCCTTGCTGGATGGATCTCTTTGCTATTTCTTAAAAACTTCAAGCGTATGCCAGCCTCAGAACCTTTGCATTTGCTGTTCCCTCTGCCTATAACTCTGTTCCCTGGATATCATAGTTCTTGCCTCATGTCTCTGCTCAGATACAACTTTATCAGGCTTTCCCTGATCATTCTGTGTAAAATACATCTGCTTCTCCTGTTCCCCTTAACCCACTTTTCTTCATGGCACCTACCACTACTTGGTAAATACGTATTTATTTGTTGGTTTATTATCTCTTTCCCCCCATTAACCCGGAAGTGTGAGACTTTTTTCCCAGATGTATCCTCAGGGCCCAGAACAGCACCTGATACATTTATAAGTGCTTAATCAATATTTCTTGAATGAACGAATGAATGAATGCTCATTATCCATCCATTCGTGTGACTTTCCTGGTAGCCTCAGAGGCTTTCGGTAGCTATATCATGAACTGGGATAACAACCCCTTAAAAGTCAGGATAGTCCTCTCCTTTATATACCTGAGAAGAATTTTACAAGTGAGGCTTATGATCTCAAAGAGAATTAGTCTTGATTTAACTTGAACAATCGAGGGAAGGAACATTTTTGGCAAATGTTACTGACTTTCCTTCTTATGCATTGTCCTTGTGTCACATTGAAAGTCTTTGAAAAGTAGAAAGTACCCCAGTTATGTTCACAGCTGTGATTTCCATTTGGTGGTTCTTAGTGGTGTATAAGCTCAAGAGCATAGTGAGTTTTTCGTGTCGACAGACACCCAGATAGAATTACAGCGTGAATGTGTTTTCATTGGAGGAGTAGCTGTTATGTTTACTTATTTTCCTGGCAATTCTATCCTTTTCAACTCCCTGCTTATCAGTTTTTGGATGGCCTTGCAGGTATACTTAAGTTTTTTTGTTAACATTTTAAAATAAATCCTTGATCTCTTGAGCATTTTACATCTCTCATGTGACTCTCGAACTGTTTGAAAGTACCAGTTTCATCTTTCAGGATGAAATGACATCTGTCGACAAGCATATAATTGCATTTTCATTATAAGGATAGGAAAAATTGTATCTTGGGGTAGAATTTTTACAGAGAGGATATAGTATGAGTCTAAGCTTTTCAAAGGCTTGAATTTCAAGTAGGCTACGTTTAATTTTAGTGAGTTTTTGAAAAAAAACTTCGCTTTTTGCTCTAAAGAAGAAGGATCCCTTTGAACACATTCCAAACAGAGACCTTCAAAAACTTTTTTCTTATGCCCCAAATACACAAGAAGTCGAGGAAAAAAATCTTAAATGAACAATTTATTCTTTTTAAGGCCTAAAAGGAATGTGTTAAGAATTTATTTTTATTTGTTCCACAGGCATCTATTGAGGATGTAGTTGGGGCAGATCTGTGTGTTTTTGTATGGGCTACGTTACCATGTTTAGTTTTAGATTACCAACCTAATTTCTTATTATTTCTTCTCTTTTCTCGCTTGGCTACCTCCCTTCTCTCATCATTTTCTCTCCCTACATGACCTCATCCATTCCCAGGACTTTAGTACCCTCTGGATGTGGATGACTCCCTCAGTTACACCTCCCACCTGGACCTTTCTCTAGTTCCAGACTTGCGTTTTTAGCCAACGCCTTCCTGCTATTTCTACTTGCTGCCTCACAGTGATCTCAAACTTTACATGTCCAAAATTGATCTCTCAATCTCCCTCTCAAACTTCCAAATTTGTATTCCTCATTCCTGACCCCTTCCTTTCCTCTCCGCCAGCCTTCCCCTGCCCCAGCCTTTTCTGTCTCAGTGTCTTTACTGTCCACTCATTGTTCAGGCCAGACACCTGAAAGTCATCCTTGATTCTTCGACTCCTCACCCACATCCAATCCATCAGCGTGGCCTGTTGGCCCAGCCTCCAGAATACCTCAAATCCTCCCTTCCCTCCATCTTCCTAATCCAGCCACCGTCCTCTCAACTGAATGACTTCTGCTGCCTGGTGCCTGGTCTCCCAGCTTCCACGCTTGCCTTCTTCTAACTCATTCTCCCCATGGCAGCCAGAGTCATCCTACTAAAAAGTAAATCAGATCGTGTCACCCTCCTCACCCCTGCCTGGTGGCTTCCCACTGTACTTTGACCCACATCCACACTTCTTACTCTGAGGTGCCCGGCCCCTGCCTCCCTCTCTAACCTCTGCTCCTTGCTCACCATGCTTCTGTCAGGTTGGAGCACCGTCAGTTCCTCAAACATGCCAAGGTCTCCTCTTCTCTGCAGGCCCTTCCCTCTGCCCGGCGCTCTTCCCTCCCACTCTTCTCATAGAAAGAGCCTTGTCAAACATCCGGTTTCAGCTAAAATGTCCCTCCTCAGAGGGGCCTTTCCTCGTCACCCCTTCTGCAGTAGTTTCCTCCCCATTGTCCCCTCTCTCAGCGTATGGGCGTTTCCTGCTTAGCACTTCACCAAAATTCCAAGTATTTCATTTGTGTATTTGTTTCCTTCTTTATTGTCTACTCACCTAATAGACTGCAAGATTTATGAGGCCAAGCACAGCCTTGTCCTGTTTATGGTACAGTCCTGACACCCAGTGCTCTGCTAGAATCCAGTAGGTGAAGGTCCTCAATTTGAATAATAATATAACAGCTAACCTTTTTTTGAAACTTACTGTGTGCCAGGTCCATTGCTAAGTGCGTTCACGCATTATCTCTAAATCTCTGGGAGAACTCACTAAGGTGGTGATGGTTATTATCATTTCTATTTTTAGTTGAGAAAATTGAGTTAGAGAAGTTAAGTAATTTTTAACTTATGCAGCTAAGAAAGCGGTGGAGCTAGCATTTGAATCTACATGATCTGACTGTAGAGACTTCCTTCTTATTCATTACTGCCTTCTGATATGAAGGTAGAAATGAATGAATGTGAAATATGCTATAATAATATTTGATGGTTCCTCATGTTTGTGTTTCTAAGCATATACTGGAGTTTAAAAAATAAGAATGCTTGGGTGAGGGTGTTGCATTTCCTGGGAGGTTTCTGTTAATAAGCACTAAGCCAAAGCACATAGATTAGCTGTGTTCAGGTGCTGTGTTTTAATTTTACCTTTGCCACTCTGTAGCTGTCAGCTCCTGGGCAAATTACTTAACATGTCTAGGTCTATTTTTTCAGCTGTAAATGGAGAAAAATAATAGTTCTTGTCTCACAGGGTCATTGTGAGTAGCATACACAAAAAACAATCAATGTTAGCTATTAATATTATAAGGAGGAAAAAAACCCTCAGGAAAAGACTTGTAGCCCCATCAACAAATTAAAATTTGGATAAGAGTGAAAGATAGACCATAACTAATAGTATTGTTTCACTGACTCTGGTTTTGAACTTATCAAAATTATCAGGGAATTAACTATTTGGCTTGGGATTTATAATCATTCTATTGATGTATGGCAACTTTATGTATGGATTTAAACTTGTTAAATGCTTATAGGTAA